AATAGCTCTCTTCCTCATCATACAGATTATTGTCAAGGGATACCTTAGGAAAGGCTTACTGGTGGTCCACTGGTAAATGATTAAAAAACCCAGTCCTCAGGAGTAGCTGCTATTGCAGTAAAATCCTAGATTCTGGGAAACGAGCCTGACCAAGAAAAATAGAATCTCTCACCGCAAATATGATATTGGTATTACACAGAGACTACATAGCTAAACATTTACCGACCCTTTCTTCTACTGTAGTCTGGTGATTTCACCTAACAATTATTCCACTGCTTATATGTCACCACATGTGCTCAAATTTGTTATTTGTTTGGAATTTAATCTGAATGCAACAAAATGTGAAAAGTAACAGTAAAAATGGTGAACACAAATCAGCAACACAATTGTTGGAATTCAGAACTGAGGACTAAGCGGAGAGGTTATTCTTCATTGTTATCTCAGTCTTCCTCTTAAAATGAACATAGACTTAGATGGTCTTATGCTTCGAACAGTGCAAGACAAGTCAGCTGTGAAAATTGTAGCATCTGCAGCAGGCACTTTGCATCTGGACTTGTGCCTAAGTCTACTTTATAATGTATTCTGCAGCACTCTGTGTGTTCTTGCCCCCGATGACATGACCAATGTAATCCAATGATCAGAAGCAGAAATGTTTGGGATATACCTTTGAAAATGCAACCAGTGTCAGCCTCTTGCCAATGCTTGTACTGCACCACTAAGGCTGGGTATAGATTATGCAATTTTATTTCCTTCAACCACAGGTTGAAGGAAAGAAAATTGCTCAATTCCCCCATCAACCCTGATTGTGAAAGGTTTCCCCACCATCAGAATACAATGAAGGCAGCTATAGTGTATTTCATTAAAAAAAAACCTGACAGGTTGTACTGAAGTCAATCTATAAATCGACTTCCGTACAACCAGCCTGCCCATAGAAAGGTTGAAATCTGCTGAATCTGCTGAATTTCAATCTGTCTATGGCTGGCTTTAGAGAAGAGGGGCAATACTAGAAGCCAATGAGGAAGGATGTCAAGTCATCAATCTGGGGGTGGGGAGATAACAGCAGTGCATTCTGTATTATAACAGATGAAGTGGTGCCACCCTTCTGGCTGTTCTATGTGATGGAGTTGTGTAAATATTAATGGACAGGAATGAAAATAGTTTGGTAGGTAAAAAAAGCTCCATTATATGTATTTCTTTTTGTAATAAGACGTTTGCCTGGTGCCCAGCTTTTAAATTAAACACAATAATTATTTTTTTTTTTTTTTTACTTTTAAATACAAATTTGAATTATGATCATATTTAAAATTTAATAAGAGAATTTAAATTTTAGTAAAATAAGCTACAACTAGCAACAGGGACAGACATGTAAAAAAAAGGACTGCTTATACATTCCACACCTTCTGTCGTAATTGTTGAAATTAGGAAGCAATCTCAATTTTCTTTTCCTTTTAAACTTTATTGCTGCTGACAAATGCAACATTGCCAGTGGATGGTACATATTTAATTTTAAAAGCACAAACACTCAGCAACTTTTTTTTTTCAAATTCAAGAACATTTCTTGTCATTTCCAAAAAAAGCACTTACTGGCTACGTGACAAAATACTGTAAAATGAGTCACACTAACAGGTTTTACATTTGAAAAGCGTGCTAATTAGTAGTGTGGAATTTTTTTAATTTGTTTTTTTTTTCTACATGGACTTTTTTGTAATATATATATATATATATATATATAGTAGTAGTGTTTAATTTTCAACTAAATTTTGTTCTTACAAAAGTTAAATAAAATATACAGATGCTAACTTTTAGATGAAGTACTGCATATGTCAATGTACACACAGTTGCTAGTAATCAAACTAAATACCTACACTTATTTAATAAAGTAGCACCAAGAATGATGATGATTTATGGTTATTCATAGCAAGCAATTACATTTCAGCTGTTATCTTTAGATAATTCAGAACAGCAAAAGATAGTTGATTTCTTGTTGCCATGTTATTATTGTTATTATCATATTATTAAAATGTTTCTTCCGTGCAAAGTAAAAGATATAGCTTGATGGTAATATAGTTTACGCCAGCCTTTTTCAACCAAGATGCTCAGGCACCCTATGGTGCCTTCAGGCATGGCAAAATGCCTAAAAATGGCCCCAAAATTGTACACAAGCCAGAGGGTGGATACACAAAGCCATATGTTTTCATTGTGCAGCATTACTACCTTCCAGAGCCCAACATCCTAACAACCAATGACATCATCGGGTGATAAGGAGGACCTCAGGGGCCTGCACAGCATCCTTGTTTGCCCCTCCTATGCCCACTTTGTCTGCACTGGGGTCATGTTAACAAAAAGAGGGGGAGAAACTGAGGGAGATGAGAAACACTGGAATACTTGTCAGTACCAGTGCACAAAGGTGGAGGAATAAATCACCTTGAATGTTGGGTGTCCTACCTGTGTGGATGCAGCTGTGACATGTAAAACTATTAGTTTAATTTTTCACATTTCAGAATGGGGTGCCTCAAGATTGCACATAATTTTAAAGGGTGTCTTGACCCCTAAAAAATTGGAAAAATACTTTTAAGCAAAAAAAAAAAAACTATTTTTTTTACAGTGACAAGTACATACAATTGTAAATTAGGAAAAGAAGTCCGACCTGGACATGCTGTTTAGAACAGCCTTTCTCAACCCTTTTAATGAAGAGTTTTAACTGTTGAAATAACTTTCAGGTCTCAGGGAACTCCTGACAAATAATTACTTTACCTACAACTCACAGTATATTAGCATGGTGGTTATTGAAGAATGCTTCTTACTTAGGTGGTAAATGGGAAAAAATGCCCTCCTTACAGATATAGTATCTTAAAGGATCATTGATGTTAGTGGGTACTTATATGAGAGGCAGGAACTGATTGTTGCTTAAAGAACAACCTTTAGAAAAACCCTAGGCTTACACAGAACCCTGGTTAAGAAAGGCTGATTTTCAATAACCCTGATTTTGGTCAAGATACAACTACCAGTTGTATAAAGTGAACATATGTGAATCATTTCCATGCCTGAAAGCAACCATACCTTTTTACCTAAACTGTGTGTAAATTTATTATGGATTAAAAGATCTTGCATTTTGTTTCTATTTATTAATATCATGACACCTTTCCATATTACGGATATGTAAAAAATGTTTGTTGATTTTTTTTTATATCTCCTGTTTTTCTGACACAAAGATATGCATTGATGTAGGCCTGACTTACTAAAGTGTGTAGTGATGTGAACACTAACATCCAATCATGCAGGTGAATTAATAGAAAAAACTTGCCTCACTTCAATTCACACTAGAAATCAGCCTCAATTTCTGAAAGTATGTTGCAACTTGAACTTCAGTGAAGTAAGCTGATGTTAACTTTACTGCGCTTTGCCCATAGAAAAGAAAAAGGTTTGCTTAAATGATCTCCCCTCCTTAGCAGAACAATCCCTCATTTCCTTAACCGCAATACTCTTTTTTTTGGCCACTGGGATCAAAAAATTACTTGGTACTTCCATGTAATATGTCCCCCTTAGTGCATACAACAGCACACATTTTTGGTGAATGGCTCTACTGTCACATGGGGACATGAGACAAACTTAAGTCTTTTGTAAGCTTCAACTAGAGCAACTCAAATCTTACACAAATTTTGCTTTCTTGTCATTTCGAATGAAATTGTGTTCTGCAAGGGCAACACACAATTCTTTAAACATCCAGTCATGCAACTTTTCTTTAAGCTTTTTTCTTTGATTGTATGAGTGAAGTAAATATTGGTTCACTTCAGCTGACTTCCAGAGTAAATACATAAATAACCAGCCATACTGGGTTCAAGATAGTCCTGTAAAATGCTTAATTATCTGAACTTTCTTTTTCATTAATGCATGCTGTGCAGTTTATTTGTGATTTTCATGATGCAGAAGTGAAAACAATAGTACAGATTAAATGCTTGTCATGCATGTCTCTAAATTGCCATTGTTGCGAAACTATTCCCTCTGGGAACTATTTCTACCACTGACAGCATTAATGTGACAGTATTCCCTGCACTGACACCATGAATGGGGCACAACTTCTCCCACTGACACCAATGATGGGACATTATTCCTTCCACTGAGACCAATGATTGGGCAATATTCATTCTACAAATACCCTCATTGGGGATTGTTTGCTCTCAATGATACCAATTATGAGCACAATTTCTTCTACATACACCAACAATAGGGCAATATTCATCTCACTGACACCAATGACAGGACACTATTCCTCCCACTGAAACCAGCGATGAGGCACAAATCCTCCCACTAACACTAATGATATGGTATTAGTCCTCCCACTAAACTGATGATTGGACAATGATTCTCCCACTGATAGCAACAATAGCACACTATTCCTTTCACTGACACCAATGATTGGGAATTATTTTTGCTCCCAGTGATCACTATCCCTGAGGCATTGTTTACTCCTGCTGACCACAATCTGGCCCCCATAAAGGCCAAAGTGTGCTGGCCCTTTGTTTCAAAAGTTTGAGGACCCCAGCATCATTATTCTTATTTTAAGCTGGGCATACATGAGTCAGTTGTTTTTTTTTTGAAGCAGTGGGCTGATTGAAAATACCCTGAATGGATTCCCCCATCTACACAATCGAGTTGGATGGAGAAATACTCTCTGCTGTGTTATTGTATTCAGACAGCAGAGACTTCTCCACTGTCAGAATGAATTGATCAGCACTGCAGCCAGTTAGCTGCAGCACCGATCGAACAAAAATGTATCAGCAAGCTCATTTGTAAAAAGTCGATCATTACATCAGCTTCTGATAAATGGGAAAGGCCATAGATTAATCAAAATTCGACCCATCCCCATCTGAACCAGATGAATTGTGATCCATCTTTGGCCAGCTTTAGTACAGAGTACAGAGCAATTATAAGAGCTGTTTTTAACACAGGCTTACAAACAGCACAATAAATTAACTTTTTTTTCACTTTGTTGATTATAGGGTCTCCGGCTCTTACAGGAACTGGTACTATTACAGTAAATGTAGATGATATCAACGACAATAAACCAGCATTTGCCTTAAACCAGCATTTTATAAGTATCTCAGAAGATGCACCTACTGGAACAGATGTATTACTGCTCAATTGCTCAGATCCTGATGCTGGCCTGAATGGTGTTGTTCGGTAAGCTTAGTAATGTGATTATATTTTTCTAGTCTCATTCTATTAGAAGATATTCTTTTCATCCTTCGACTGCGAACAACTTTCTTTTGTCAGCACCACTCTCCTTCATGTGACAATTCATAATTTAATGTGTTTGGCACTACTATATTCATCAAACATAGTAATGAGGATGTTAAGTCACACTGACAAGCCAAGTGCTACCTACTGAGTGCATGGACAACTCAAAACAACCCTATAGTACTCATTAATTAAGTCTTGTGTGTTAGCAGGGGTTACTACATAGGGAGTTCTCTAGTTTAAAAAAAAAAAAAACAGAGTATGTTGTGTGCTAGGTTTGGTACAAATGTATAAAGCCTTAAAGTGAAACTCTCAGCACAGAGATAAAAACTTTTTTTAAAAAAAAATCAGTTTCACCTGCCAAAGTATTTGTTGTTGTGTTCAGTAACTCTTGTGACCCACCCTGCCATTATGTAATTATGTATAGGATGTAGAAGGGTAACACTAATGTAACCAGCTTTTCAGACTACTTGTGTCAGTTCCGCACCACAAGCATGCTCTTTGTACTGTAAATGAGCATGAGCACACTGCTCTTGCCTGCCCTCTTCCTTGTAAGTCAGCTATTTATAAGTCTACTAAAAGGCCTTCTACTTCAGCCCCAACCATCTGAATATATGTTAGAATGACAGCAATAGTTACATAGTTACATAGTCTGGCTAAAAAAAGACAAAAGTCCATCCAGTTCAAACATTAAACAAAAAAAGTTATAATCCCATACCCACAGTTGATCCAGAGGAAGGCAAAAAAAAACAGCAAAGCATGATCCAATTTGCTCCTGCAGAGAAAAAAAATCCTTCCTGATCCCCAAGAGGCAATCGGATATTCCCTGGATCAACTTTACCTATAAATGTTAGTATCCAGTTATATTCTTTGTATCTAAGAAAGAATCCAGGCCTTGTGCAATGCAATGCAGCCTGGCTGGCTTACCTTGCTGGTACCCTAAATCTTTTCATGATTTCTGCTGTGCAGGGAATTCTGGAAAGGTAATCTAATATTGGAGTTATACCAGCAATACGGAAAAACACATTTAAAGAACAACTCCACTGTAGTAAAAAAAAATAAAAAAAAGCTAACCCCCCCCCCCCCCTGCCAGGCCCCTAACCTAGAACCCCATTCTACCCACTCACTCTCCGAGGTGCTTATTTAGCATTCTGTGATGGAGTGTGACAAAGCAACAGGAGATTTAAGTTTCAAGGATGTATAAAATAGATGTGGCTGCCCCTGTCCTGGAGAGGTAGGTAACACCTGGGTAAGGGTGGGGTGGGGAGGTGTTCAATTGGGTTAGAATGCTCAGAGGGATATTATTGTTTAAATGAAGTTTCATATACATACTGCTTTACATACCTAGACTATAGCATGAAAAAACACTTTAAAAAGTAGAAAACAAATGTACATTCTGTGATGACAGCTCTAGGTACCAATATGTTCTTTTCCTGGTAGGTCATTTAAGTTCTCTGAAGATTCCAAAGTAATTTCATTGTCTTGTAGTACATCCAATGGTTCATTTCCCACAAAAATAATTAAAATAATAGTTCTTTTTTGACCATAAACTAGTTTATTACAAACCTATATTTAGTATTTAATTTATCTTAGGGAGTTTATTTATTTTGGATGTAGATTATTAAGCACTAGGCTTTAGCAGTGATGGTTGTAATATTAAAGTAATTTAAAATGATCATAGTGGTTTGTCTGAAGCAAAAGTGTCGTTAATAGAACATTAAATCTGCATCTTGGACAAGTATTCATTAATGGAATATCTACAGTTTAATGAGCTTGTCCAGATTTACTCAATTTAATGATCTGTCTCGGGGATTCTTCTTCTTTGTAGCAAGTGCTATAATATAATCGTAGCTGGACTAAAACAACATTTTTTAGAGTACAAAAGCTTCTGTTCAAGGTAATTTTAACTGTTTTTTTTTTCTTTTAGATACAGCCTTGTTGGTGGCAACTCTCAGTTCACAATTAACCCCTCTACTGGACAGATAATAAGTAGTTCATTGTTAGATAGGGAGACGAAGGACAACTATACACTGCTCATTATGGCTACTGATGGGGGATCACCAAGCTTATCAAGTTCAACAAGTGTGACAGTGAACATTCTTGATGTAAATGACAACCCACCAAGATTTCTACATCACCCATATGTCACCCATATTCCATCACCAGCATCTGCAGGTAAATATGTGTTATTATTTTGGTCATGTATGTAATGTATTGATGTATGTAGTATATTTTTTTCATCATTGAGGGAAGGTTAAATGTAATTAAACACTAAAAAATAAAAAGCATATAATGTGGCAGACCTCAGCACTTACCATGTTTGCTATGGCTTGTGGTTGCTGTGCATTCTATCTGTCAAAATGCTCTCTTCTATAGTTCCTGACCTACAGTGACTCAGTCCCCTTGCAGTAATAATGCCACCCATGCATGTGTGCTCCTGGCTGGGACTACATCCAAGTCTTCTTATGCTATGTGGCTACACAGAAGCAGATATCCCCAAAGCCTAGGGTGACAAGCCGCTTCCTGATCCTACCTCCATACCAAGTTGATTGACAGCAGTTGAGGCTTGTGCTGTCTTTTATACTTTGTTTCCTGTGTCCTCAGTGCATATGATCCCCTGCCCTCAGTGCATGCTCTCCCCTACATTCACTGTGTCCTTGGCATGTGCACTCCCCCAACTGGAAGCTCAGGGAAGTGGCACAGGGCAGTAAGGAGTCATCAGCATTGTAATTAAGTTGGCCATACATATTCAATTAACTGTGTGCAGGGGAATGATCGTCTGCTTAATCAGAGTGCATTGATTTAAAAAAATTGAGCATTTAACTACTTTATTTACTAATTTAAAAATCTAAGTTTTGTGTTTCTTTTATAGTAGTAGTATATGTATATGTTTGTAAACCATTGGCTGTAATTTAGAGTGTATGCAAAGCCATGTAAGGAAGGATTAGAACCCCTGTCAGAGTTTTTACCTTTATCTATATATCTATCTACCTATCTATCTATATATCCCCAAAGTAATTATATACATAAGAAATAAACAGGTATTTTTGGCCTTGATGAAAGGGCATCTATTTAACCATCAAATTATGCTAATTGCATTGGCTATCAAAACCTTTTCTGGACACAAACTAGTGAATCACTACATTTATCATTGCTTTTCTCTGCAGATTTTTTTTAGCTGCCTGTATACTTGCTAAGTACAGTATATTTTCTCTGGTTTTTGAGAAAAAGTGGTGGGTAATCTAAAATGTTACAGTTGTCACCAACACAGGGGTAAGGGTAAATTTTTCAGTGGATGCAACATACCCACCAAAGGGGTTGCACAAAGGGCTCACTAAAGCTGTATTGGTATAAAAAAATAAATGTTTTATTATATATAAATTAGAATAATGAAAATAACCAAAAAAGAAAGAAACATGAACACATCACTACATTAAAATGACAACACTGTCAAGCAACACCCGCTCTCCCAGACCACACACATTCATCAATTTATAGGCTGTGTCATATCAGGTGCTAACAGGGGCGGACTGACAACTCATGGGGCCCCTGGGCAATAGGGGAACATGGGGCCCCTGTGTCCTTGCCCAAACTCAAAAAAGCCCATGAAAAAGGTACCAGGGGCATATCATGGGGCCCCCTACTGACCCCGGGCCCTCAGGCAGTGCCCGAGTTTCCAAATGGTCAGTCCGCCCCTGGATGCCAATGACAACTGTTGAACACAAAGTCCAAAATGGCTTTTAATATTTCACATAAACATAATGAAATTAACTTTTTTTTTAATTTTTACTTGGAAATGATTAGAGGAATGATGGATTTAGGGTCCAAGCCTTTCATGTGCAAGTGTCAATATGGTACAGCACATCCAGCCACTCATAAATGTTATCATTCTGATTATACTATTATGCAATCCAGCGAAGAGGCCACTATGTCAACTGCTATAGCATAAGCTACTTTAAAAATTAACTGCAGGGTGGTGGCAGAGGCGTCCAGGACTTCCAGGTCAAAACAACCTATGCATTTCATTCACTGATTGGTGGCCATACTATTTACTCTATATTTCTCGGACATATTATAATGGTACTTCTAATCTACACATATTTTCATGTATCATTCATTCTTATGATTAACTATTAGCTAACCAGATCTCAAAGTAAGGTTAAGGGAAAAAGAAGGGGCTAGCAGAGAGAGAGAAATAAAGAAGAAAAAACACACAAAGAGCAAAAAAAGGGGAACTCTTCGAAAACACCTACCATATTTAGTCTATAGATCTTCACCTTTCTTTTTGCTAAAGAACTGTATTAAAGTCACCCCTTCTTGGCGATAAATTGATATCATAAATTACTTTTATTTTAAATCCCTTAATATCACCATTGTAGATTAGAAGTACCCTGTTTCCCCTAAAATAGGACCTACCCCGAAAATAAGAGCTAGTGCTATTTTTGGGAATTGCTAAAGTATAAGACCTACCCCGAAAATAAGACCTAGTTGTGATCAGTGCTTTTTTTCAGCCGGAACATGGCGGAACACCATACCGCCACCTCCGGCACTGGCCCTGCGCATGCCCATATCTGCCGTCTCTTGTAAACACAGAATCCGCTCCCACAGAACCTCTCTACTTCTGTACTCACTGTGGGACAGGGAAGGAACAGATATCTGCGGGTGCAGTATGCAGTGTGTTTAGAGGTGGGGCATCTCCTCCTGCAGCCTAATGCATGGAAGCCGATTCCCTAGGGGTGATCGCCGGCCAGTGGGGAAGAGGAGGAGCGGTGAGTAAGTGCGCTTGGTGCACTGTGTGGGAGGATAGGACGCAAAATGGGAGTTACTGTAGGGAGGGGCCGGCTGCTGACAGCTGTGTTTTGCAAAGATAGCTAACCATATGAGGGCAGTGGAGGGGGATGTGCAAAGGTGAGCTGGAGTTAGGTGTTGCAGAGGTAAATTGAGTCAGGTGTTTTGCAGACAGGGTGCAGAGGTGAGCTGAGTTGCAACCCACTTTTGCACCCCCAGCCACAGCTCAGCTCTGCACCCCCTGGACACAGCTCACCTCTGCATCCCCTGTCCGCAACTTACCCCTGCACCCCCTGGCCACAGCTCAGCTCTTCACCCCCCAGCCACTGCTCACCTCTGCATCCCCTGTCCGCAACTTACCCCTGCACCCCCTGGCCACAGCTCAGCTCTGCACCCCCTGGCCACAGCTCACCTCTGCATCCCACGTCTGCAACTCACCCCTGCACCCTGTATGTGGCTCATATCTGCACCCTGTCTGAAACTCACCTGTCACGTCTCCCCTGCAACACCTGACTGCAGCTCATAACTGTCATCAATTGGCCCTCTCCATAGTAACCCTCATCCACAACTGCCTGCAGCTCACCTTGGCACCTTCTGTCCACACCTGGACATTTAAAAAATAAGACCTACCCTGAAAATAAGACCTAGTGTGTTTTTTTTGAGCCAAAAAAAATATAAGACAGTGTCTTATTTTCGGGGGAAACATGGTACTAGTATAGTATGCCAGAGTAATAAAATGCAAATAGTATTGGAAGACAAGAGGTATTTTTAAATTGCTCAACACTTAACATCAGAAAGCGTCCTATTTAAACCTCATAATGTAGCCCCCTCCCTTCCTGTACTGATAAAGTTCAGTAATCAGTGAACAAAATGTGTACATTGTTTTGACCCCAAAAGTCACAGACCCATCTGCCACTGCAGTTAGCACATAGGATGTCTCTTACTCAGCCATTGAGGCAGATATGGGAGTAGCCTTTCATGAGAGTATAACATGTATCCACAGAGGGTGGTAAAAGAGAGTGGAACTCCCATGATGGTCATGGCTTATAGCAATAATTATCCACTAGTGCTATACTGCCATTAAGTTTGCTGCAGTGAGTGCACAATGATTTCTGTAAGTAGTGACACTCCATTGCTGGTGCTTTGGTGGATATAAGTTATCACTGTTCAATAGAACATTGGAACCAGTTTATGCTGGTTATATACAGTCTCAAAACAGTTCTCTTCTTGATGCTTTTGGAATACATTCAGGTGATTTATGACTATGCTGAAGAATTGAATTTTCTCAAGTTATAGCAGCTAATGTTGCTGTGCTATACTACATCGACGGCTGTGCTTAAAGCTTGGACTTCCTAATCCATCATTCCACTGGTCATTTCCAGTTGCATTTCATACAACAGAAAGTTAATTTCAGTATGTTGGGGTGTAATTCCAGGAGCAATTTATAATTCTTTGTGCAGTAGGTGACTTTAGCACTTGATATGCTACAGCTTATAAGAGGATGAATGTGCATGGTCCAGACAAGGGAGTGTGGTGTTTTTGTGCCTCTTTATTCTGTCTTTTGTATTACATAAAGTATTTATTTTTTGTACTGCATACAGCCTCGGAGCACCCTTTTGTACCACCTTTTTGGCATTTTTTTTTTCGTTTTTTACACTTATTAGAATTTTCAACTACTGGCTGATATCCTTATATTTTTCAACAGAAAATCACTATAATTCATGGGGTGATTATTATTTCTTTACCTCTTTTGATGAAGATACTTATTCCTGTGACAACTGTCTGAGAGGAGCATTCCTCTCACCTTTTACAGACTCATTTCACTTTTGTCTCTAGGACAGAAAATGAGTTGAAATCTTCCCAATACTACAAACACAGCAAAAAGATAAAATAACAGAGTTTTAACACTTCCCCACACTATTCAAAAGCACAAAAATAAATTTACTATAGATACCCTTTTAATGAATGTATCATCTTACTTTTGTTATAATTAATTTTATTTTATTTTTTGTCTTTAGACTCATTTGTGTTTGCTGTCACAGTTACTGATGAAGATATTGGATCCAATTCAGAGCTTCACTTTTCCTTGAAAGGTCGGCATTCAGACAAGTTTCACATAGACCCACTGAGGGGTGCTATAAGAACAGCAGAGCCAATAGAGGGGGCTTCTGAGATCACATTTTCTGTTCAAGTCAAAGACGGTGGAGTTAATTCCAAGTCAGATTCTACCACAGTAACCGTGAGGTTTGCTAACAAAGCTGACTTCCCACAGATAACAGCTGATCAAAAAATCTTTGCATTTCCTGAGAATCAAGAAGTAGGAACATTGGTAACAACTGTTTTTGGATCATCAACAAGGGATGGAGTATTATCTTTTTATATTTCCAGTGGTAATTTTGGCAATACATTCCATATTGATGAACTAAATGGGCAGCTTTACATCAAGAACCCATTAGATTATGAAACTATTTCAAAATACATTCTGTGGATTGAAGCCAGAGACATGGGTTTTCCTCCATTCTCCTCCTACCAAAAGATAGAAGTAAATGTTTTAGATATCAATGATAATGTGCCACAATTCAAACAGGACCCATTTATAGCAGAAACTATGGAAAACCTTTCTCCACGCAAAATACTTACAGTTACTGCAAAGGACAAGGACAGTGGATCCAATGGCCAAGTGGACTATGTGATAGTTGATGGGAACAAAGATAATTTATTTAGTATAAACAGAGTCAGTGGGGAGACTAGAAGCACGAGGATGTTGGACCGTGAAAAAGTTTCCCAACATATTTTGACTATCAAAGCCTCTGACAAAGGAAATCCTCCCCAGAGCTCAGTAGTGAAAGTTATCATTAATGTTTTAGATGATAATGATAATGCTCCACGATTCTCTCAGATCTTCAGTGCGTCTGTTCCGGAGAATGCAGCTTTGGGCTATGTGGTTACCCAGGTTACAACCTCAGATGAAGACTCTGGTGCAAATGCAGTCAGCAGGTATACAATTGCAGACACTAGTCTACCTTTCCATATAAACCCTAGTACTGGTGTGATTACAGTAAGTAGACCAATAAACAGGGAAGATAACGATCGCTATATTGTTAGAGTCTCTGCTCATGATTCAGGATGGACTGTAAGCACAGATGTGACCATATTTGTGACTGATGTCAATGACAATGCTCCAAGATTTAGTAAGCCGTCATATTACTTAAATTTTCCAGAAACCACAGAGCCTGGAACTGAGATCACCCAAGTTTTGGCATCTGACCCAGATGAAGGGCTCAATGGTCAGGTATATTATTTCATTAAATCTCAGTCTGAGTTTTTTTAGGATTAATGCCTCTACAGGAGAAATTTTCAATAAGCAGCACCTAAAGTATCAGAACCCCAACACCTCCGGCAATATTAACATTAACAGGCACAGTTTTATAGTCAGTGCTTCTGATCGAGGTAGTCCTCCTCTTATGAGTGAAACGACGATATCAATTAACATAGTTGACAGTAATGACAATCCTCCCAAATTTTTGCAAAGTAAATACTTTAGCCCTGTTGCCAAAAATGCAAAAATCGGTACAAAACTAATGAGGGTTACAGCCATTGATGAAATAGATTTTGGACTCAATTCTCAAGTGGAATATTCAGCTGAAAACCTTGGTGGAAAGTTTCATATCAATAAAGAATCTGGCTGGATTAGTGTTGCAGCCTCTTTAATGATGGACTTGAATAAAAACTTTGTGATTAAAGTTACAGCTAAAGACAAAGGCAGTCCTCCACTTTCCTCTATGGCAACAGTTAACATTACTGTGACGGAAGAAAATTACCATACACCAGAATTCTCACAAAGCCATATAAGCATTACTGTCTTGGAAAGTTTTACAGTGGGAGCAATTATCAGGACGGTTTCAGCAAGGGACAGGGATACATCTATGAATGGAGTGATCACATATAACATAACAGCAGGAAATGAATCTGGTCTCTTTGCTATAAACACGTCCACAGGTGCATTATCTTTGTCCAGAAACCTGGACTATGAAGTGTGCCAAAAACATGACTTAACCATAAGTGCTGTTGATGGAGGATGGGTTGCTAAAACAGGTTACTGTGTTGTAACAGTGCATGTTAAAGATGTGAATGACAATCCTCCTGTATTTCAAGCAGATGAATACTTGCCCAGTGTCACGGAAAATGCACCTAGTGGAACTACGGTTATGCGCTTGAATGCAACTGATGCAGACTCTGCCCCTAATGCAGTAATAGCGTATTCTATTCAGTCATCAGACAGTGACCTTTTTGTAATTGATCCAAATACTGGTGTGATCACCACGCAAGGATTTCTTGATTATGAAACAAAGCAAAGTTACCACCTGACCATTAAAGCTTTCAACGTTCCTGATGAGGAGCGCTGCAGTTTTGTGACTGTGACTGTCCAACTAGAAGGCGCAAATGAATATGTACCTCGATTTGTTTCAAAACTGTATTATTTTGAGGTTTCTGAAGCTGCCCCTCAAGGCATTGTAGTCGGAGAAGTGTTTGCTAGTGACCGTGATTTAGGCATTGATGGGGAAGTTCATTACTTAATCTTTGGCAGTAGCAGGAAAAAAGGTTTCCGGATAGAAAAGAAGACAGGGAAGTTGTATGTATCTGGTCTTCTAGACAGAGAGAAAGAGGAAAGAATATCATTAAAAGTCCTGGCTAAAAATATAGGCAGCATTCGTGGAGCTGATATTGATGAAGTCAATGTAAATATCACTGTGCTTGATGCTAATGACCCCCCTGTCTTTAGTTTGAAATTATATAATGTACAAATTAGCGAAGGTGTACCTCCAGGAACCCATGTTACATTTGTAAGTGCCTATGACTCTGATTCAGTTCCTAGCTGGAGCAGATTTTCCTACTTTATTGGCACTGGGAATGAAAAGGGTGCCTTTTCAATCAACCCCCAAACTGGCCAGGTTACAGTTACTACTGAACTAGATCGAGAAAGCACACCTATATATAATCTTACAGTGCTAGCCATTGATTCAGGAACACCCTCTGCAACAGGAAGTGCAACTTTATTAGTGTCTTTGGAAGACATTAATGACAATGGACCAACTTTAATCAACACTCAAGGAGAAGTCAAAGAAAACCATAGATCTGGAACTCATGTTATGACACTGCAGTCCACAGACCTGGACCTTCCTCCAAATCAAGGTCCATTTAATTATTATCTCCTGAGTACTGGTCCAGCAACTAGTTATTTCAGTCTTAGCCCTGGTGGAGTCCTAACTACAACCAGAGAAATTGACAGGGAACAAATTAATGAGTTTTTCCTATCTGTTGTGACAAGAGATTCTGGTTTTCCACAAATGTCTTCCACAGGTACTGTGCACGTTAAAGTAATTGACCAGAATGATAACCCATCTGAATCAAGGACTGTTGAGATATTTGTTCATTATTATGGAAACCTCTTTCCTGGTGGTAGTTTAGGTAGTGTCAAGCCTCAAGATCCTGATGTTCTGGATAGTTTCCAGTGTACACTAACATCCGGCATTACAAGTCTCTTTAATATCCCAGCAGACAGTTGTGACCTTCACTCACAATCAAGATCTACTGATGGAACATTTGACCTTTTAGTTCACAGCAGTGATGGCCTACACAATGCAGTCACAAATAATGTCCGAATTTTCTTTACAGGATTTAGTAATGCCACAATTGACAACAGTATCCTGCTGCGCATAAATATACCAACTGTTAAAGACTTTTTAACTAATAATTATCTGCACTTCTTGCGCATAGCTAGCTCTCAACTTACTGGGCTTGGAACCGCAGTACAAGTCTATGGAGTATTTGAAAAGAATAACAAAACGTATGTCATGACAGCTGTGAAAAGAAGTAATAATCATTATGTTAACCCAAGTGGAGTAGGTACTTTTTTTTGAAAGCATAAAGGAAGTGTTATTCCGACAAAGTGGAGTATGGATTGAATCAGTAGATCATGATTCATGTGCACATAATCCTTGTCTAAATGGAGGGAGCTGCATGAGAAGACTTGCCGTGGGTTCAAAAATACCAGTCCTGGAAAGTATTCCTGTAATTTTAGTAGCAAATGAGCCTTTACAAACCTTTGTATGCAAATGCATGCCGGGGTATGAGGGGAACTTATGTGAAACTGACATTGATGAGTGTTTGCCTCTCCCATGTCATAATGGTGGGACTTGCCACAACCTAGTGGGTGGATTTACCTGCAGATGTCCAGATGGCTTTGCTGGAATAGCTTGCGAGAGAGATATCAATGAGTGCCTTTCTAGTCCATGCAAAAATGGTGGCATTTGCCAGAACTTTCCAGGAGGCTTTAACTGCGTCTGCAAAGCAGGTTCTACAGGTAAGATACTTTTTATATTTCTTATATGTTTAATATAAATGCTGAATTATATAAGTGAAAGATTATATAGGTAAAAGATGCCAAATTAAATTCAATAGTAAAAGGAGAGATCTTACACTCTTTAGCCCCTAGAAAGCTTTTTCCACTCCTTCTCCACTGAGTGATATGAACAGTAGAAGTATGTAAAACCTATCCTATGTCTATCTACTATTATTTAATTAATATAGCCATACTTAAATAGATGTTCTGGAGAGCTGCGAGTCTGGAAATGAAAAATCAGACATTTTGGGCATTCCCCTTTATCCAGCATGACAACAGGGTAAATCAGGTAATCCCATTACTCAAGGGGTCCATTGCATTGGCAAGAAATGCTTCCTTTTTTATCCTACATAAATGATAAGATTGTCACATAATTCCTACCATATAGTCAGTGTCTTGAAGAAATGTTATAACATGCATGGCAAGCCTTATGATGTCTATATACACCAGAGGGTGGTTTTATGTGAAGGTATGATCTAACCTCCTCAGGTTAAATTAGTGTGTCCTACATACATGTTTATGTGTATGGAGAGGGAGGAAGAGCTTCAGAATCAATGTATATGTTGGTGCTAGTGGACAAGGCAGGTGGACAAGGTTTTGAAATCAATCCAATCAGTAGTACACCTAAAGAATGGATGACTGGGGCTGTTTGCAGGAAATAAAAATGGTATTGCAGTCTGTTTGAAAACAGCCAGGCTAAGAGAAACCTGTAATGTTTCTTCCAGTACCTACATTATGGTCCAAAAAACAATTCCGTCACTCAATTACAATTTATAACCATTGCTTGTGTAACTCAAAATGGATTCCGGTTCTCATCAGTAGATGGCAAAATCGAAGTGTTATCAGGATAAATCAAAATAAAGCCAGACCATAGACTTTTTAAACTTCAGGTATTCTTCTAGCAACCATAATGCAGTGCAATTCAGCTATCCTGGGCAGCTTAGGCTGTAGTTATACTATTGCATATAGCTTAAACATCTTGTTTATAGTGCAATTACTCCATAGTCTGTGCTTATAATGCATGTAATTGGAAACCATCATGACTAAGTGAGTCAGACAGTCCCAGCTGCCTGCAAGTGAGCCAGAGGTCAAACTGTCCTGGTATTTATATAGACCAGAAAGTACAATGAATATTAATATATAGCTCTTCATTATCTGTGCACGCTTGTGCTTTTATCTGTATAGCTGAACTATTCCATAATCAACATGAATCCTTGCTTTAGAAGTTTTACCATATTTAGTTGCTAAAATCTCTGTGGATCCAAGTATTTGACAGATCGGAACCATACTCCTTCAAACATTCCCTGTCCACTTCATGATTCAGTTTGATAGCCTGCAAATTTCTCAACATGTGGAATTGTAATTATCTTATAAACTGGACTTAGGATGGAAATCCGCACTTAAAATGTGGCTTTTTGAGCAGGAACAAATCTAGCGATCACATTCTTTTGGTGAAGGTTTACATATAAAAAATGTAAATTTATTTTCCCTTTTGTTCATTTTGTAATATATTTTTATAGATGGAAATGTATTAATGTTTAAAAAAATCACGTAAATAAGATAACTCAGCAAAATGCAGCTGAAGCTTATAGGGGCACTTATACTGTGCTTGAAAGGTTTTTTGGTGGATGCCAGATATTTTAGCTCCATCCACTTGAATAAAATCTCCACAGTAATAAAGCTAAGTAACATAATCAGTACTGTAATGAGAGTGGAGACAGGAACTCCAGTGAAAGTGTCACTGGTACCTTAGATAGACAGAAAAATAGATTGGCTGCTACAGGCCAAAAGAGGGAGTCTTGTTATCACAGAGAAGTTGGGCATGTCTCAGGTCATATCCTCTCCGCAAAACCAGCAGACACATTTACGATGGACTTATCTTTAAAGTAGCACGTTTTTCAGCCATGTAAAAACCTTAAAGAGGCTATGATGTTTCCTAACTCCCATGTTTTGGTTGGATTTGGGCTTTAGGTGAAAGCACAATATTTGGTTATATATATGTCATATGACTGTTTTTTTTTTGGGAGGGGGGTTTGCATTTATTTTGTTACTATTATAGGACTACTATGTTGATGCTATGTTAATCATTCCTTTCACCACACATGCAGGATAATTCTAACACAATAAGAAGTCCTACTATTTGGTTCTGTAAAACTTTCACTTCTTTAAAAATTTCCTCACATAATCTGGCAGATCTGTTTTATTCCTGTCATCTCAGGGTAAAATCTCTTCTTAGCTCTGCATACCATCCACTATTGGCATGCTTTACTTTAGATATCACCTTTCTCTTCAAATTCAGAGGTGATGCAAAGTCAACCATTGTCTGTTAGAGAGGATGTTATGTTGTAAAGCACTGTTTAAACTGTTGGTGCTATATAAATTCTGTATTATAATAATAATAATATACGGATATACAGTATTAAAAAGAATGAAAAGGCTGAAGATTTTGGATCTCCATGCATTCTATGAATGAAAATAAAAAACCTTCTGTATGTTGCTCCCCCCTCAGCCCCCCTAATACTTACCTGAGCCCCCTCTCAATCATGTGCATGAGAGCTTTGGCTATCCCGGGACTACCTCTCCATATTGGCTGAGACAGCAGTGGGCTCCCACTGCTATAAATCACTGCCAATGAGGAGAGAGCGGGGCCAGGGCAGAGCCGCGGCTCTATGTGTCTTATGGATGCATAGAGCTGCGCTCGGGAGCGAGCATGCACCAGTGCCCCCATAGCAAGCTTGCTTGCTAATGGGGGCACTGGCCAAGGGGGAGAATCCAGAATCATTGATTGGGGACCTGAGAAAGACAGGATTGGGGCTGCTCTGTGCAAAACTATTGTACAGAGCAGGTAAGTATGACATGTTTGTTATTAAAAAAAAAATGCAGAACCTTTATTACCACTTTAACCTGTATTTTTTTTTATTCAAAATTTGAGATTTTGTACAAATCTGGGGACCAGAAAATAGCTGTTTGTTTTCATTTTGCATAATTTCAATGTTGACAGCAAGTCTGAAACATTGTGAGAGATTTTCTAAAGCAGTAAAGAATGATTACTTAGCAAAGTGAATGTTTATTTCAGATGCCCGATCATGTGCAATAGAAATCAAAACGCAGTGTTTTTTTGGCATTTTGTGTTGTTTAATTTAACCTCCCTAGCGGTATGATTATTTCAGATTTTTGGTGCTGAAAGCGGTACCATTATTTTGCATGGAAATATGTAGTTTTTTTTTATTTAGGCCTGTCATTTTTAGGAATAACTCACTGAAATCTATCCAAACAAGAGTCTAGTAAACATTCCGGATATGATAAAACTTGAAACACGAAATCATAAGTTATAATTTAATAAATAATCATAAAAAATAATAAAATAATAATAATACATTTAATTCAATAATATAATCAAACCAAAAACACTGAAATTTTAAATATAGCGCCAAGTTCGCACATCACTGAGCAAAGTATCATTTTCAGTGTTTGATGATGAATTTCCCCCACAAATCATTATCACTCAATTCTGCAAGTGGTTCTGATTTACTATCGCTGTTCTCTAGCTGGTCTAAAACCGATTTTGACCTAAAGGGACGCTTTTGGACGCCATGGACTTTTCCCAGTTTCCAGGCAGAAAGAACAGTCAAAATGCAGGCAGGGCACAGGACAAAGCAGTAGGGACAAAATGTATGAGAAATGCTTTGAAACAGCAATGTTTTGCTATGTAATAATCGTTTTAAAAAAAATAAAATTTTTAAAAAAATTCAAATTTGCCGCTGGTTCGGGCACCCGTACGTCACAGGGACAGGAACACAGAAGCCAAATGCCGGCATCGGCCGGAGGAGATGGCCAGGGATGCTGCAGGGGACACATCGCGGGAGCGAAGGACAAGGTCAGCGCTGCAGGGAATCCCTGAGCAACGCCGCATGGTAAGCCCGAGTGTAGCTCAGGGTTACCAGTTGTGGTACTGAAACTCTACCCCGAGCTACACTCGGGAATACCCCCAGGGATGTTAAGTAAACACAGCTTCACATTTTCACTAAGCTAAGGGAACAGTCACTTTACTAGAGGACATACTTTTAAAGAAGTGAATGTGACATTCACCAAACATTCACTGCAGGTAAATCTACCTTGTGTATTATTATACAGTGTATGTGTTTAAAATACAGTGCTTGACATACCTGCAGTGAATGTTTGGTTAAGGTTGCATTTGTGTTATAAGATTTGTCCCCAAGCGTACATTTTCTGCTCCTTAGTAATAAAGCTGTATGCTGCACATATGTTTTTAGTCTAGGTTCATACTTCAATGGGTTTGTGGGCTGCATTTGCGCATGCACGGCATCCTATTTATTTGAATGGGCTGCTGTGCCTGAGATTCCCACAAAAAAAGATGCCTGCAGCATTTTCAACATGTGGCCGAAGGGAAATCACATGGTGCATTTGTACCTACGGAAGAGTGCATTTTGGCTGAGGGTGGTTGTGGGTGCGGGAACAACTGCGATTCCCGCACCCACGACCACCCGCCACAGTGTGAACCTAGCCTCAGTCCAAATAGTAAAAATTTTAGATACTTTAAAATAGAATAGTACAGTACAAAAGATGTTTCTTGCTATAGTGTATCTTTCTAAATACCATATAGCAGTGTATATGGTCTATACAATGTACCAAATACCAGTGGCTTTGGTGTAGTAACTGAAACCCTTGAAGTGTGATTTCTTATGTTATTATTCACAGTTCTGATTATGCAATCGCTAAGTAGACTTGCCCTGACCAGTAACTGCATAGCACTATGTTACATTTTTTAATGTTTAGGACTCTTGAACTATATGATATACTTATATGTTTATATATATATTTGATTAATTCAATCACATTTTTTTTTGCTAGGTAAACTATGTGAATCTGCTATTAATTATTGTGAATGCAACCCTTGTTTTAATGGGGGATCTTGCCAAAGTGGAATAGATGGATATTACTGTCATTGTCCTTTTGGTGAGTAGATATACTTTCAGTTATTCCTTTGAAAAGACAACCTTTTTGGACTGCTTGTCTATATTCCCATCGCACATGTTCCTGGAAACAGGGCTCATCAGTAGTGGGTGCTGCAGTGACAACCAGCAGTGACATCCATACTGGAAATACTGGTATCCATACTGGAAACATTCGGAGCCAAGCAGGACCCCTTCGTCAGGCATGACATGCCTGACAAAGGGGTCCTGTGCTGTTCTGATACATTACACTTGTACATTTGTGATGTGATCTTTCTGCAATAAAAGCTTTTGGACAACATTTGAAGATCCATGGTGTGCTGGTGAATATGTGCATTAATCCTTTTTGGACACCTGTCTCATCAGATCAGAGCTTATTAACTGTAGATATAGTTGATTGGTTTACACAGAGATTGATTTTCAACTACAGCCTGACCATGTGTTGAGAAGCCTGTAAACAACATACTATCTTTATTAGGAATGTGTATACTCAGGTAGGGTGATAGACTGTTGTGACGGAGGGTAAGCGGGTCAGAACTCACAAGGCAGATGGCAAACACTTAAAGCTTTATTAAAACAGACAACAGTCACTCGATGGGGAGTAGTGCAGGGAGAAAGAGTCCAAAATACTTGTAGTCCAGCCCCAAGGCAAAGTTGAAATGTCTCTACAGCAGTTTATAATCCAAACAGGGGGGTGATGTGAGTCTCTGTAGTAGTTGTAATCCAACAGGGAGGTGGAGTGGGAGTACAAGAACAGTTCAGGGAAAACAGGAGAGCATAAACTCACGGGTCCAACAGGGATGTCCTGGTTCACAGCGGACAGCAGCAGGGGCGACCCTGCTCAGCACACAGCAACAGCAGGTAGTTCTAGCACACAGCCAAGGGCAGTTGAGGCAAAGAGAGCCTGGGCACAGCAGAGGGCAATTCAGGCAGGCAAGGTAATCAGGGCCCACAGCAGTAGGTAGCTCTGGCAGGCAGGAGGTCCGGGCACTCAGCAGAGGTCAGTTCACAGGGTAGCGATCCAGGGACTCACCAGCCAGCAGTGTACAAAGCAAAGTACAGTTCCAAGCATCTCCTAGTTAAGGCTCAGGCAGGAGTAGCCCTGTCCATCATGACTCCAGCTCTCCCAACAAAATGTCCACATGGCCCTGCAATTGTCCCCACCCCCAACTTCCTGCTAAGATGTGGCCTGGACTGGTTTTCCCCAGCCACACAGAGCCATGCTGCCTTTGTTCTATATGGAGATACATCCCATTTCCCCTCCCCCTGTGAGGCCCAGGAACTTCAGACAACACACAAAAAAAATAATATTTCTGCTGTCTGTCACACTGTAAAATGAGTTCAGTAATATCTTTATGGTTCACTATACTCCCCAGGTTTTATTTATATCATATCTCCCAAAAGTTAAAATATTTGGCCATATAATCAGCTCCTAATGACATTTATTTAATTACAATGACATTATCTAAAAAAGTGTGAACTTGTTACATAGTAATAATGTTATTGTGAAATTGGGCCAGAAAGAACATATTTGGTGCAAATGTTGTCACTTCAAAAACTTATTTTTTCACACCGCACATACCGTATTTGCCGGCGTATAAGACGACTGGGCGTATAAGACGACCCCCTACTTTTCCTGCTAAAATGTAGTGTTTGGGCTATACTCGCCGTATAAGACTACCCCTCTTCCAATGCACACCAGTGGGAGGAATAGTGCCCCATCATTGGTGTCAGTGGGAGGAATAGTGCCCCATCATTGGTGTCAGTGGGAGGAATAGTGCCCCATCATTGGCATTAGTGGCAGGAATAGTGCCCCATCATTAGTATCAGTGGGGGGAATAGGTGCCCCATCATTGGTATCAGTGGCAGGAATAGTGCCCCATCATTAGTATCAGTGGGGGGAATAGGTGCCCCATCATTGGTATCAGTGGCAGGAATAGTGCCCCATCATTGGTATCAGTGGGAGGAATAGTGCCCCATCATTGGTATCAGTGGCAGGAATAGTGCCCTATCATTAGTATCAGTGGGGGGAATAGTGCCCCATCATTGGTGTCAGTGGGAGGAATAGTGTCCCAACATTGGTGTCAGTGGGAGGAATGGTGCTCCATCATTGGTGTCAGTGGGGGGGGGAATAGTGCCCCATCATTGGTGTCAGTGGGGGGGGGGAATAGTGCCCCATTGTTGGTGTCAGTGGGGGGAGGAATAGTGCCCCATCGTTGGTGTCAGTGGGAGGAATAGTGCCCCATCATTGGTGTCAGTGGGAGGAGTAGTGCTCCATCATTGGTATCAGTGACACCAATGATGGGGCACTATTCCTCCCACTGACACCAATTACACTTGCTGACCCTGTTCTAGTATGGTGCTGCTGCAGACAGCATATGTGGTTGCAGCAGCACCTCTACACTGAACACTTACCTGCTGCTCCTGCACTCGATTTTCGCAGGGCCGCTCGGCTCCGCCCCCTCGCCGGTGATTGGCTGCCTGTGTGCCTTTCCTGAGCTACAGTTCTGGCGGCCAATCACCGGTGAGGAGGCGGAGCCAAGCAGCCACGCGAACATCCAGTGGCCAAACTGAAGGAGCAGCCGCGCTTCCTGGACAAGATCGTCGTGGGACCGGAGCCAGGTAAGAAACAGCCCCTGCCCACCCCTGTACTTAGTGTCCCTTCCGTTGGAAGGGGGGGGGGCGGCGGCGGCACCTCGCCGCCCCCCTAAAAAGTGTCAGTATGCCGTATACCGGCGTATAAGACGACCCCCGACTTTTGAGAAGATTTTCAAGGGGTAAAAAGTCGTCTTATACGCTGGAAAATACGGTACCTTCATCTGAATTATGCAGTAAAATACTTTTGACCTTAGTAAACAACACAAAAAGTTCCTGCACTAGTAACTTCCCATAGCTCACCTGGAATACGCCAAATGGATTAAAATATATAAACTCTAAAATAATAAAATGGTCATGATCACAATTCTCATCCAAATACACTTCAGTTTACAAGAACAAAAACTTATGAAGTCACATAGTTTCTCTATCACCTTTACTAGAGCTCATCCCTAATTTTAAATAATACAGACTTGGAACAAGAATATTTTTAAAGTGCCAATAGGATCGACTTTTGGAAAGAAAACAGCTGAGAAAGTTAAAGAGAGATGTCTTTAAATAATTAGAGCTATGTCTTCATACATCTTGGAAGACACAGTCTGGTAAATCACTTCTTTCCATTCCCCTGAAAGCCAGAGATATATATTCTCATAAAGCAGTTACCTCATAACCATTGGTGTGTGCTTCCAGCCTTTCTGTGTGCATACAACCCTATTTATCAGTGTGGTCATCAGAGCTTTTTGGAAGAATGAAGGGAAGGGCAGTTAATTAGTTATCTTGACATTGTTGTTGAGCCTAGGAGAAACAAAGGACATTGCTCTAAATAAGTCATCATTTTAGGACATGAAGCCAAATATAGATATAGAAAGCAAAAGATATGTTTATTTCCATGTAAGTTTGTTTTTCAGTAAGAATAACTGAAAAGTTGGAAACCTTTCATTCCTACTGTGTCTGAATTACATGTAGAAAAACATAATTTAAAAAAAAAGTGTTAGAGTGTAGATTTCATTGTATTTGTACAATGCCATATCTCTAAATGCGCCATATACAATGCCATTTTCCCAAGCCAAGGCAATAAAGAAATTAAATATCATTTGCAGTACATACTTACTTATTGGTTGTTAAAAAAGGCAACAATGGAAATCTTCCAAGATGTATCTTGTTAGAGCTCTGCTACTGAACTAGAAGAAATTTGAATACACATTCAAATAAATCAGGTTGTGGACTTATAGCCAATACACATGCTTGGGGACTGCTTTAGAATGGACTTTAGATCATATTTGTTAAACGATTTTGCTTGGATATTTCTTGCTATGGTCCAGGATTGATTTGCAAACACCTTGGCCAATTGTTATTTGCTCATTTTCCACAATATTCTGTTTATAATTTTTTTTTGAGAGTGTAGACTTTCAGAGATCTCTGTATCCAGTAAGAGGAACCATAAGCCTAAAGTAAGCCTATCAAAACCTGGGCAATTCAAACTAAATACACTAAAAAAAAGCCTGATATTGTGTACGGGGCACTAGTACCCCTCTTGGTCCTTTAATGTGATGGATATCCTCACTAGCTACTAGACTGGCTATTTTCATATACATTCCGCTAATTTTGTTTCCAGATCTACTAATTATTTGACATGCACTTTGATAAAGGCTAAGTTTTGATTATATGTTTTTTTTTATCATATGTTTGGTTTTAATTGTCCAGGTTTGTGACAGGTTTTCTTTATCATGGAAAAACAAACAATACTGATGGTGAACTTTAGATAATAGTAAACTTTAGATTTCTCTTGCTTTTAACAAGGCTGTTCCATGGAAGACACACATTTTACCTCCATGGTGTACTTCTCAAACCACCTATCCTCCTTATCAGTTCACAAATGATGACCTGAAATTTGTGCTAAAACAGTCAAAAACACATAAACAATACAAAATAAAAAATTAATAATACTACTGAGAATAAATTAACTGTGAACTAAATAAGACATTGTTATGGTGGAACATTATTGTTTTTTACTTTATGTTTTTACTGTTTTATCCTTTATTCTACATTTTAGGCCCACTGCACACACCACTGTCCAGTTGCAGTATCTCTCTCCCATCATCTTAATGCACCTTGGAGTGACAGGTGCAGCATCAGGCCCTGTAGCAGGCAGTCTGTCAAATTCTGTGGCAGGCTGTGGCTGAACGCTGTACCTAGTGGTACCAGTGTTTAGGGCCCTGTCAATTCAGGGATGGAGGTCAAGAACACATGAAACCTTAGCATTATGTGTATATGCATCTTTTATTCAATATTTTAACAGATCTGAAATGGTTTGTTTATACTATTGAGGGTATTGTTCTCCTATTATTAAAAAAAATTAATGGAGCATGAATTGATTATGGCCCTGAAAATTAGCAGATTTTGCTTAAATGTTCTCCACAGCAGCAATGCAATCCAGGCAATATCTGGACTTTTTACCTGAATACTAAATATTTGTTGAAATGGGCCTATAAAACCAGTTAACAGCCTCTCCACTTAATTAGATTTTAGCCCAGTGAAGGAAGTATTTATTTTGCATTCACACTTAAAAATCAAATGTTTCTAGTGGTATGCTCACATTTTCCAGGCTCTGTAACTTTATAAGGAATGGAATTTTGCCTCAATACACATTAACACCAAGTATGTCCAAACTGAAAAAGGTGACAAAATAAGTGCATAATGTCAGAAATGTCTATTTTATGCTTTAACTCCTATCTGTTGCCATCAACATTTACAAAGAAATAAGAAATATGCATATTCATTAAAGATAAGCCAGAACTCTACATATCCAGATGACCTTACTTTGAATTTTAACAAGATTATTTCATACACTTCACTAAAATTTATAAGAACAGGATTTAAGGTTTAATGAGGTTGTATAAGAGGTAAGCCAAATTCCCCCATATTTTTTTTTATATATAATTTGAATCATATATTTTGTCTCTTTGGATAACACACTAAAGAAGAGATCAGGCACAGCAAGTTCACATGAAAAATGAAGCAAGTTCATCTTTCTGAAATACTTCTATTGGTTTCCATGTGAAAGAAAGCTTAAAAAACAGAAGGAATGAGAGACAGAATATGATTAATGAAGTGCAGGAAGCTACATTTGACTACATTTGCAATGGAAGAAAAACATTAACAAATACCTGCATAATGAGGCCATCTCTTGTACTTATTTTCTATTCTCTACTTGAGTCTTGGCTCTAAATTGCTGTTATAGTGATTCACTTTATCTCATCCTGGTAAAAATCTTAAGATAAAATACTTGGTTCAAGAAATGGTGCATAGAGCTAATTCAACAAATTAGACATTTACTGTATGTCTTAAATGAAAAATTATTGCAAAAAAAAATAGTGAATGGCATAGTTCTGCAAAAACTAATGACAAAGCAGTGAATGTATGGAAGTATGAAAACTTACTGCATTGCCAGCTGTGTATAAAAATGCTGTATTTTAAAGAAATTAAGACCTTTTTATTTGATATTAGCATTCCATTATTTTAGTAATCTGTTCAATATTTTCTTATGATGTTGAGCACTAAGCTGGTTAAGGATGGAGAGCATGATCTGTGCAAGTTATATTATAAAACTAGGGCTTTGTTACTTAGAGGTAAGGGAAGAACATGAGGCGCCAGCTAAGTGCAGTATGTGTATAAGGATGGTTTATTAAAAGCGGTTAAAAGCACTCACAAGATGTCTAAAATCTTCAGACTTATCAGATAGTAGGTCATTAGCTCACTCCTTTAGCAGGGTCCACCGCTGTCATCTAGGCTGGCCTGGCTTCTAGAAAGAGCAAGCAGCTCTGAGCACATAGTCTGATAGCCTTATACTAGTCCCAATCCTCTCCTCCTTCTGGTGACGTCACGTCCGTCCATGCGTTCCACGCTGGTTCCTGTGCAGTTCCTGATGTACACAGGGCGTCCCGGGGCTCCATTCTCCCATCTTCCAGACTAGATGACAGTGGTGGACCCTGCTAAAGGAGCAAGCTAAGGACCTACTATCTGATAAGTCTGAAGTTTTTAGCCATCTTGTGAGTGTTCTTAACCTCTTTTAATAAACCATCCTTATACACATACTGCACTTAGCTGGCGCCTCCTGTTCTTCCCTTACTGTCTTCCCAACAGAGTTGGTCACACTCTACAGATGGCTGTCTCCAGTGCCTCTTTGGATTTTTTATATCTTGTGGAATTCTAGGACTTATAAGGACTTTGTAGGAGTAATTAGGACTTATAAGGACTCCCTTATATATTGTTTACATTACAATTGGTCTTGGTTAAGCGCCAGATCATACTGTTCTCATTGTGTTACTTAAAGAGTTAAAAACAGGGTAGTGTTGATTGATTGGTGAAACTAGGAGCCTAGGAGGGACAACTAATGGGGTCACAGGTAGAAATAGCAATCAGAGAGACATTTTTAACTCTTATCCACTTTATGCAAAGCTAAACATGGCTGTGCTTAGGCTTTAAAGTAGTTGTAAACCTCTAAAATGAAAAATGTAAAAGATATATCCCTCTATAGTGTGTACTTGCCTCAATCCAAATCTCACTCTGCTATCTGCATGAGTCACTTCTGACAGGTTATGTCCATATCACAGAATGCCGGGAGTCTGCCCAGCCCTCTCTCCAGCACAGCAATGTTGATTGACATCATCCACTGTGCCTATTTCCCTATGTGACTGTGTAGAGGGAGATGTGTCCATGCCCTACACTCAGGTCTCAGATTACACTCCACTCCATGCTCAGTGCTTTGCAGTGTGAGATGTCAGATCCTTGCCCCTTGCCTTTTAGAGCTGAGAAACAGCCTTTTATCTGTGTGTTTTAGAACGCTGTAGAGAAGAGAGTCCTGAAGATAAACAGATACAACATATTTAGGGTTTGTGTCATCTCTGTGTATCACCTGAAGCTAATCACTTCAGTGGATATATAAGGGTTTACAAACACGTTCATTTTATAAATAAGCTCTACTCTGTGTGCAATATTAGCCAGTCTGGATGTTTGGTGAGCTGAAAGTTTAGCATTTTTTTTACTTTTTTAGGCCTTTCTTTATTTTATAGTGCATGAATATGTGGTGTAGTAAATCTGTGGTCAAATGCTTCTCTCTGTCAGATTATAATCATATTTAGGCATGATTAGTTATCCTAGGATTTGCATAGGTCATGTCCTAATAAACTGTACCCTTAAAATATTTTTTATTAGTATTTCACTGTGCAGAAACATATTAGCTGTTTGAAGTAAGAGGAATAGAAGGTGTTATCCTTAACTGACAAATTAATTCCAAGACTCGGTTTTTAAAGAATGTGTGTGAATAGTGCCAAGGGCAGTGCTTTGATTTGTCCTTACCAACATTTGTTACGCATAAACTCATTTGTTAGAGTTCTAGTTGTTCTTCATTATATATCATGTCATACTGTCCTAAGAGTAATACAGGTATATTTGACTGGCACATATTTAGTTAAAGTATATTAGATACAAACATGTAAAGGAGCATTAACAAAAAGTCATCTATAGCACTTAAGTGGTGAAAGTTAATGTTGGAAGCAGCTTGCACAGAAGTGTGCAAACATGGACCTGCTATTTATTATCAGTCTTTTCTTTTTATCTTCCATTGTTGTATAGGTGTCTTTGGAAAACACTGTGAATTAAATAGTTATGGATTTGAGGAGCTTTCCTACATGGAGTTTCCCAGTCTGGACCCCAACAATAATTACATTTATATGAAGTTTTCTACCATTAAACCAAATGCATTATTGCTGTACAGTTATGATAACCAGACTGGTGATACAGCTGAATTCCTTGCTTTGGAGATTGTAGAAGAGAGGATGAGGTTTTCCTACAACTTGGGCAGTGGAACATACAAGCTAACCACAATGAAGAAAGTTTCAGATGGGCACTTCCATACGGTGATTGCACGCAGAGCTGGAATGGTAAAGACCTTTGTTTATATTGTCATTTTACAACATTTAGTAGAAAATATATTGCATGCAGAGTGAGTATACAGTATGACTTTATTGAAAATTGTGGTACTTTACTTTAGACGTATACCCTGATAGTTGTAGTCACATAATCTGTCAAGTCTATTACACTTCTGTGTTGACAATCTATTACGATAAAGGTTTACATTTGCTCAGTGTTCAGTTTTGCATAGCAATATAAATATGAATACAAATATGAGGTCTGATGACCACTGTACATGCATAGTTACCCACTAACAATGTATCTAATGACAATGTATTTCCAATGTTAGCAGTCACTTGTAGTGCTTCCAAAGCTTCTGAGGCACAGTTTCTGGTCACAAATCAGGGCATGGTACCCCATAGCCCCTTTCCTGGATTTGATCCTGTATACTCAGTCTCTGCTGAGCCTCATCTGCTTTTTTTATTTGCCACAGGATAGTTGACTGCCACTAGTAGTCCGGCCTTTGGGATAGCACTTACCCACATCTGTAGAAGCTCAGAAGCCTGCCTTTCCAGCCTTCCTTTGAAGTGGGTTCAAGAAGTATACTGAGACAATTTAAATCTGTACAGGGGGGATCTGCCCACTGAAGACCGTGAGACATAAATTATCAAAGGGCAGCTCTTGTACCCAACCAATGAATACGATCAGGGTCAGAGAGATGCAAATTTATTTCTGGCCTAACATGCTTACAGACAGAGCCAACTACTATTGATCCTGTGTTAACTGACAGCAGATTGGCAAGGCAGGTGATGTTTGTAGGGTTCCCCTACAGCATTTGGCTGTAAGTGAACTTGTTAAGAAGATGATAGTGGATACCAGATTGGGCTGCTAGCCATCTCCAGCATTTTACACAAACAATACATCATGACAGTAGTGGACTGTGCCACCCATTACCCAGATGCTTTTGTAATATCCTTTCTCAGAGCGTACATGATTATTGATGATTTGCTGTACCATTTGTATCTGACTTGATGCAGGATCTCTGTAGAAAAACAGATAATGCTAATCCTTACCACCCACAAATGAAAAGCCTGTGTGTGTGTTTTATTGGGGCTGAGGATATTTGTGGAGTCACAGGGAACAATGGATGCCTTATCTGCTGTTTACCAACAGAGAGGTAACCCAGGAGTCCACAGGCTTTTCACCATTTAAACAGGCCAGTGAGAGGACCTTTAGATGCAATCTGAGACACTTGGGAAGGCAAAATTGCTGGTCCCGAAGTCTCTGTGATGGGTTACGTACTAAGGTTCTTGGAAAAATGGAGATACTAATTGGGATGGGGCAGGAAAACATGACATGGGCTCAGGTCAAACAAAAATGCTGGTACAACCAACAGATGTTCAACCTGGGTTAGTCATTTCAACACCCCTTCAGCACACTCCTCACATCCTTTGATTGGTTGCATTAATTCTCTTGATGCCCACTCCAGGGACCAGAAAAGATGGCACAGTTTGTAGCTGCAACTGCCATTTGACATTGAAGCCACTATGGCTACTGAGAGGGTCATGTTTCTGAGAGCCAGTGACTCATCAGTGGACTTGCAATGTAGGCATAGAAACCAAAGACCAAGTGAAGTAAAAGTTTATGTATGGCTTTTAATCTTACTGTAGATTTACTTATTGACTGTTTTGTAATTGTTTTCTGTAACTACTTTCTTGCACTTTATTTCTACAATTAAATGATATTTCAAAATTGTTAAAAAAAATTCTGAATGCTCTAATCAAAAATTAAAAAGAACATTTTTTTTCTCTTTGAATATAGATACATAAATTCTGTTATACTCTTGTGGGCATGACAGTAAGCAGTACAGACTTTTTTTTAATGACCAGAATTGTAAAATCAAAGGCTGTGACTCGTATGTTTCTAATAAAACAGTTGTTGGTGGTGGCTAGTGTGCGTGTGTGTGTGTGTGTGTGTATTTGTGTGTGTGTGTAAAAGGTTAACTGTTCCCTTAGCCCGCTCCAGTGACGATCTCTTTCAATCTGCTGGTACTTAGATTGTTGTAGGCAAGCTGTCACACCATGCATCATAGACATCTGTGTAAAGAGAATGACTAACCAAGGATCTTTTCTTACATATTTTTATTTTTCTTCGCTCTTCTCTGATGACTGTAAGTTTGAAGAGTTTTATGCTATATGACCTCTGGTATGTAGACACATCTTCCACCCCCATGTGATTTTAAATGTCTAAACTCAGGCCAGTAAAATCATGAAGGATTTACAAAAAACTGGAGCAGGCATAATTTTGAGCAGCTGTACATGGTAACCAAACCACTTCTAACTTCAGCTTGTTTAACCACTTGCCCTCCACAGGATTTACCCCATCCTGACCAGGCCATTTTTTTGCTGTATTACTTTAAGTGACAATTGCATGGTCATGCAACTCTGTACATAAATGAAATGTCTTTTTTTTTCCAACAAATAGAGCTTTCTTTCAGTGGTATTTGACCACCTCTGCGTTTTTTATTTTTTGCGCTATAAACAAAAAAAACCAACAATTTTGAAAAAAATAAAAAACAGTATAAACAATATTTTTGACTTTTTGCTGTAAAACATATCCAGTAAAAAAATTTAAAAATCTAATTTCTTCATAAATTTAGGCCAAAATGTATTGTGCTACATGTCTTTAGTAAAACAAAATCCCAATGCATGTAAATTAATTGGTTTACGTGAGAGTTATAGCATCTACAAATGGCGGTATATATACTGGAGTTTTTATTTCTTTTTTATTTACTAGTAATGGCAGCAATCAGCGACTTATAGCGGGACTGCAGGACTGCAGCGGGGATTCTGACACTGGGTGGAAACTGACTAACTTCCCCCACTGACATCCCAATGACACTAATAGAGTGATCAGTACAAATAAAAAGCACTGACACTGTACTTGTGACACTGGGCAGGAAGGGGCTAACATCTGGGATGATCAAAGGGTTAACTGTGTGCTGTGTCTGTTTTACATTATGTGCTGTGTGTGTTTTACTAGGAAAACATGCAGCTGTGTATTTCTCTTCTGTGCCGTGCAGAGAAATACACAGCAGCATGTCTTTGCTAGCAAGTGAGAGACCTGTGTAGTTTACACACAGGTCTCTCCCCTGTCAGTTTTTCTCGGCCGGCAGAGAATCTCTGGCCAGGACCCGGTGATTGACATCCGTGGCATCCAATGGCGGTGCGGGTAGGGTGGTGCACGCATGCCCCCTACCCGGAAATGCAAATGATATATATACGTGACTTTGCGCAGCCCTGCCATCCTGTAGTAGTAGTTCTACTATAGGGCAGCGGGCAAGTGGTTAATTAAACTTTGACAATAGAAGCTGATTGGTTATTATGCACAGCTGCACCACACTCTGTCTGCTCCAGTCTTAGTAAATTTCCTTCATGGTCTGATGAGTGAAGTGTAGGGGAATTTGAATGGCCTGCATAGAGCACTGACCCCAACTATATTGAACACTTTTGGGATTTGGAAGACAGGTCCTTTTGTCCAATATCAGTACTTGACCTCTCAAATGCTTTCTCTGATTGGGCACAAATTCCCACAAACACACCCCTAAATCTTGGAGAAAGCCATTACAGCCACAAATGGGGGGCGATGTTTATAAAATGCTTATGTGTTTGAAAAAGCTATTCAACAGGTTCATATAGGTGTGATAATCAAATGTCAACAAGCTTTACACATTTAGTGTTGGTGTAACAACCTTGGTATGGTGTTGTCATTTTTTCATGTTTAAATACTTTGGAATTTTAAATGTAAAAGATATACCCTATGTAGTTTCCCCTGTGTGAAATGACATTGTAACAATGTAAAGTTACATTGCATTTACTTTTAATTGTATATGTAGATTAGAGGATTGGTCCCCCGCTCCCTGTGAACAATTGGAAGCTTTGGGGAGCATGTACCTGATTTTGACAGGTGACTGCTCCAACCTCCGCTCTGACCATCTAGGCCATCACAAGTGGAAGTTCTACTCCACCCCCCTCCCGCAGTCTTCTGAGACACATAGGGGACCATTCACAATGCGTAGCGCTACTCACGCAGGCGCAGTGGGCACCCAGCTTTGAAGCCACAAGCTGTCACAGCCGGGTGCTCACACATAAGATGCTGGCGCCAGGCAGAGAGTACAGCCGGTGAACCCGGGTTGTCTGACTATACCCATACCGCTGGATGGTAGGACAGGTGAGTGGCTGTTTTTTAAAAGTCAGCAAACCATTTTATTTCTTTAAAGAAACTTTTCAAGAAAGAAAAAGATGCAAAAATTGTATTCTTATTTAACCCTTAGATGACCTAATTAACTCAATCCTCCCCTTCTTCAAATAGATTTATTGTTATGATTTTTTTTTGTACAAATACTAAATATATATATACACTATATTGCCAAAAGCATTGGGACACCCCTCCAAATTCAGGTGCTCCAATCACCTCCATGGCCACATATATATAAAATCAAGCACCTAGGCATGCACACTGCTTATTCAAACATTTGTGAAAGAATGGGTCACTCTCACGAGTTCAGTGAATTCAAGCATGGTACCGTGATAGTTTGCGACTTGTGCAATAAGCCCATTTGTGAAATTTCCTTGCTACTAAATATTCCACTGTCAACTGTTAGTGGTATTATAACAAAGTGGAAGCAACTGGGAACAACAGCAACTCAGCCACGAAGTGGTAGGCCACGTAAAATGACAGAGCGGGGTCATGCTGAAGCACACAGTGAGCAGAAGTCAACAACTGTCTGCACAGTCAATAGCTAAAGACCTTCAAACTTCATGTGGTCTGCAGATTAGCACAACAACATTGTGTAGAGAACTTCATGGAATGGGTTTCCATGGCTGAGCAGCTGCATCTAAGCCTTACATCACCAAGTGCAATGCAATGCATCAGATACAGTGGTGTAAAGCACGCCGCCACTGGACTCTAGAGCAGTGGAGACGTGTTCTCCGGAGTGACCAATTATGCTTCTCTGTCTGGCAATCCT